ACCCAAACACCCGGCCTAGAGAGGGAGCCAAAACGACCCAAACACACGGCCTAGAGAGGGAGCCAAAACGACCTAAACACACTGCCTAGAGAGTGAGCCAAAACGACCCAAACACACGGCCTAGAGAGGGAGCCAAAACGAATTAAACACACGGCCTAGAGAAGGAGCCAAAACAAACACACGGCCTATAGAGGGAGCAAAAACGAAACAAACACACGGCTTAGAGAGGGAGCCAAAACGAACACACTGCCTAGCGAGGGAGCCAAAACGAACTAAACACACGGCCTAGAGAGGGAGTCAAAACGACCCAAACACACGGCTTAGAGAGGGAGCCAAAACGAACACACTGCCTAGCGAGGGAGCCAAAACGAACTAAACACACGGCCTTGAGAGGGAGCCAAAACGAACCAAACACACGGCCTAGAGAGGGAGCCAAAACTAACCAAACACACGGCCTAGAGAGGGAGCCAAAACGAACACACGGTCTAGCGAGGGAGCCAAAACGAACTAAACACACGGCCTAGAGAAGGAGCCAAAACAAACACACGGCCTATAGAGGGAGCAAAAACGAAACAAACACACGGCTTAGAGAGGGAGCCAAAACGAGTCAAACATACAGCCTAGAGAGGGAGCCAAAACGAACACACGGAATAGCGAGGGAGCCAAAACGAACTAAACACACGGCCTAGAGAGGGAGCCAAAACGAACTAAACACACAGCCTAGAGAGGGAGCCAAAACGAACCAAACACACAGTCTAGCGAGGGAGAAAAACGAACACACTGCCTAACGAGGGAGCCAAAACGAACTAAACACACGGCCTAGAGAGGGAGCCAAAACAACCCAAACACACTACCTAGAGAGGGAGCCAAAACAAACCAAACACACAGTCTAGCGAGGGAGAAAAACGAACACACTGCCTAACGAGGGAGCCAAAACGAACTAAACACACGGCCTAGAGAAGGAGCCAAAACAAACACACGGCCTATAGAGGGAGCGAAAACGAAACAAACACACGGCCTAGAGAGGAAGCCAAAACGAATCAAACACAAATACACAAACCAAAGGGGAAGTTAGCATTAATAAAATATAAGATCCAGAAGGGAAACCAAATGAACGAAATACAAAGCCAAAAGAGGAAGTCAAGAATGAACTAATACACACACCAGAGAGAAGGCCAAAAGGAAAAAAACACAAAGCCAATTAAAGAAAGAAATCCAACATGAATCAAAGACACAGATCAAAGAAGAAGTGGGGCGTGTGGAGGATGAACAGAGACAAGAGGCTAAACTGAATCAAAATCAATCAAAGACGAAAGCCAAAGGAGACGGCAACACGAGCCAAAAACGTAACCCAAATAAAAAAGATGAGAAACAGACATGAACAGAAGTGGGGCAAACCTAAATCAAAAGGCAAAAACCAAAGAGGAAGCTAGCGCAAACTAAATTAACAAAAGACGCAAACTAACACGAACAGCGCACAATCCAACAGGAAGCCAACACGAGCCAAACACACACGCCAAAGGGGGAGGTCAACACGAACCAAACACACACGCCAAAGGGGGAGGTCAACACGAACCAAACACACACGCCAGAGGGGAAGCCAACACGAGCCAAACACACACGCCAGAGGGGAAGCCAACACGAGCCAAACACACACGCCAGAGGGGAAGCCAACACGAACCAAACACACACGCCAGAATGGAAGCCAACACGAACCAAACACACACGCGAGAGGGGGAGGTCAACACGAGCCAAACACACACGCCAAAGGGGAAGCCAACACGAACCAAACACACACGCCAGAGGGGAAGCCAACACGAACCAAACACACACGCCAAAGGGGAAGCCAACACGAACCAAATACACACGCCAGAGGGGAAGCCAACACGAACTAAATAATAAACACAGGATATAAGGCAACCTGATTCAAATATACAATCCAGAGGGGATGCCAACATGAACATAGGACAGAAATACACAACCCAGAGGGAAAGCCAATATCAGAGAACCAAGGGACTCATAGATGCAAATCAATGCGAAAGCCATCACGAATAGAATACACAAAGTGAACATATGCAATACCTTCGTCAGGCGGCTCAGTACCATAATCATTGGAGCAATAAATATATGATATTCGTTAGCTTCTTGTAGGTCTTTAGTATAGTTAAAGTTATTGACAACGGTTTAGTTAAGCTTGACAACACAGTTCTGTTGTTTGTCTTGAAAAACTATTGTTTGTGGCCAAGAAGAATGCAAAAAAAAGAAAGGTATTTATTTCATACTATCTTACTGATCTTCCGATGTGTTTGTATATAAGTATTGATGTTACATTTACCTACCACATACTCCTAACAAGGAGTCCTACATAACAACAAATCGGGACAATATCTCGTGCAGAAGTAATAACTGTTACATACAATTACCAAACGGGAGTCCAGACAATACTATAGTGTCTTCAAGACATGAATTTTGACGATTTTGCTCAATTTGTACGTTTCGTGAAGGACTAATTGTACATAACGTGTATGAACGTATATATGTCAGTATCGTATACGTACCATTTATATAGTGTATATAACGTGTTTGTATCGTTATTTCGTGTATTTACCGTTATATCGTGTATGAAACGTGTTCGTATCGTTGATACCGTGTATGTACCGATATCTCGTGTATGAAACGTGTTCGTATCGTTGATACCGTGTTTCCACCGTTATATGTTCCGGGTATGTAACGTGTATGTACTGTTTTATCGTGTAATGTAACGCTATATCGTGTATGTACCGTTATATCGTGTATGTACCATTTATCGTGTACGTATATCGTGTATGTACCGTTATATCGTGTATGGTATGTGTATGTACAGTTATATCGTGTATGTACCGTTATATCGTGTATGTACCATTATATCGTTATGTGCCGTTAAATCGTGTACGTACCGTTTATAATGTGTATGTAACGTATACGTACCGTTGACATGGTGTATGTAACGTGCATGTACCGTTATATCGTGTATTTCATATTTAAAAAAAAAATGGACAAAAAATTGCACAATTGGATGAGAAAACAGTCTTCTCCTATCCGGTATTGATTGACAAGAAGCATAGATTTAGTACATAGATCAACAAAACACACTCATATACACTTACAACCATTCCACAACACACATACACATATACACCCTCACATGCACACATAATAAATATGCATTCACACACACACACACACACACACACACAAGCCCTTACTCAAAAGCCTATTAATTAAATAACTTTAAAAAAAAATAAAAAAAAATAAAGATAAATAAAAATGAAAATATATATATATATATACATATAAATAAATGTAAGTATAAGTGGCAATGAAAACAGTCCTAATTCTAATTAAATCTGTTAGTAGCAGAAATGTATTGTTGAACTTTTGAGAGAATAAATAAATTATCATCAGTAGAAAGATAAGCATTACTAGATGTAAGTGAATCAACAGATGAATATCAAAAATGATTAGTGATGTCAGTTATGAAATGTCTATAGTTAGTATAAAGTTGACAGAAGAAGAAATAATGTTCAGCATTTTCACAAGATGCGCCACAAGAGCAAGATGGTTCAACTATCAAGTGATCATTGCATTTATCAAAATTTAAATTGCTAGCATTATTACGTAATTGACACAATAATATATTTAGTTTTCTTGGATTACAGGTAATGAAGTCTTCAGAAATGTTCCTGGGAGGTGTTTGAATTTTATTAATGTTCTTTTTAAAAGAATTGATAGTCAGAGAAGAAGTGACTGAATGATAGAGATTGTTCCATAGGCGCATGATATCGTGTATGTAACGTGCATGTACCGTTATATCGTGTATACAGTTATATCGTGTATGTAACGTGCATGTACCGTTATATCGTGTATACAGTTATATCGTGTATGTAACGTGCATGTACCGTTATACAGTGTATGTACCGTTATATCGTGTATGTAGCGTGCATGTACCGTTATATCGTGTATACAGTTATATCGTGTATGTAACGTGCATGTACCGTTATACAGTGTGTGTACCGTTATATCGTGTATGAAAAGTGCATGTACCGTTATATCGCGTATGTAACGTGCATGTGCCGTTATATCGTGTATGTACCGTTATATCGTGTATGTAACGTGTATGTACCGTTATATCGTGTATGTAACGTTGTATCGTGTATGTAACGTTATATCGTGTATGTAACGTGTATGTACCGTTATTTCGTGTATGTAACGTGCATGTATACCGTTATATCGTGTATGTAACGTGCATGTATACCGTTATATCGTGTATGTACCGTGCAAGTACCGTTATATCGTGTATGTACCGTATATACCGTGTACGTACCGTATATACCGTGTAAGTACCGTTATATCGTGTAAGTAACATGTGTTTGCACCGCTATGTAGTGCCGTATATACCGTGTACGTACCGTTTATAATGTGTAAGCAAGATAACATGAACAGTCAAATATAGAGTACGAGTAACTTTAAAAGCCTAGCTACAGCCCTGTAGGATAATATGGTCTGAGATTAGACGAGTTATCTCCCTTTGCAGTAGCTGTAACAAACCCTGGTATATTACATGTTGTTTTATACGTCACAGGTCTAAAACCGTTATTTCATTTATTTATTTTTTGTTTTGTTTTCTTAAGTTTGATTTCGTCAGAGAACAGAGAAAACAGATGTGTATTGTTACTAATTAATTTTTGTACCGTAATCCGGTTCGGACCATAGGCACATCCGGCATTTATCATTTACCTTGGTTTGAAGCTTATGACCGACCACGATTTTCAAGGACAACAAAAATGGTTGAGGTAGGACCGCCTGTGCGGAAAGAAAAAAGGTTACCATGGGTGCCACCTGCGTCTTCAAAGTTCGATGAATGGGTTTCTAGTATTGTAATTGAAAAGCCTGGAACGGGCTATAATTTGAAAAAAGGAGAAAAAACATGGCAGTATGAAAGGAGGATTCAACAAGAAAGTATCAATGCCAAAAGTCAATATCCCCCATTGAATATCGAACCATTTAGATATGTTCGAGAAAGGTTATATGGTGAAGATGGTAGGGGGATGACACCAGAACATCGTGAGATGCGTGCTCGATGGGTCAGAGATCAGCAGTTAGCTCCAGAAGAACCAATTTATGTCCCACCTCCAAGGAACATCTTCAGGAGAGTGTTCGGGAAGCCGTGGGAAGTTGTATACATGGCGAAATACAAAATACGCAACACGCTCATGTTTTGGACGCCACCGAAGGTAATTTTGATAATCACGCTTTCGTCAATATAAAGAACGGTTAGAAATAATGCCAGTCGGATCACAGCGACATGAGAATTTGTTGAAGCTATATATATTTGGACCTTGACTAAGGTGTTCAGACTCGGAGTAATTGTACATGTTTTAGGTGTTTAGATCGACTTTCAGTAAAAATGACACACCCAATGTTTATATATACGAGAATTAGGGCGGAAAGCTCTCGATGTCGAAAAGTCGGCCCACATAACTTTCTTGCATTAAAAACAACATTTCTAGTTGACGTACGAAAAAGTTGGCTACGTAGCCTTCCAGCCTATCATCACACCATGGGTCTCGGCAATGGCGTTAATTTCTTTATGCTCCAACCCTTAAATGGAAGGGGAGGCATATATTGTCGCTAGTGTTCGTGCGTTAACAGGTTGTTTCGCCCTAAATCCTGTTCACGCTAAGGGTTGTTTCACCCTATAACTCACGTTCGCCCAAGGTTTCGCCCAAAATTATTTTATTAATCTATACGCTTAAAAAGGTGACAGTTTTTTTTGCTTAAATCCTGTTAGCCCTAAGAATTGTTTCGCCCTAAAATATAGTTGTTTCTTAAAGTCAGAAATATGTTGTTAAAAGTTTTAAAAAAAATCTCTTGATTCAAGATATATTCATGACCGAAGCCGACAACGGACATATTAATATCCGATATTATATACTGCATATTATCATTTTCATTTTATTACCGAAATAGACACAGATTAGGTATAGACATATAATGCAACTAAATTAATTTCTCTAAGTACAATACTTATGATAAATAGATTAGGTATGGGCATATAATGAAACTAAATTAATTTCTCTAAGTACATAGACAGTATACGAAATGGACGACACAGATTAGGTATGGACATATAATGAAACTAAATTAATTTCTCTAAGTACAATACTTATAATAAATAGATTAGGTATGGACATATAATGAAACTAATTTATGTAAATAATTCCCCAAGTACATAGATACGTATTTTAATTGTTAAGCAGATGTGTACATTTTGATTATGAAATAAACGTTGGCAATACACTTAGGGAATTATCAAAATACATTTAATATACTTGTATATTAATGTACTTACCAGTCTGGTAGGTTCTATGCTGCCAACAGTCACACACATCACAGGAGATACCATGCTGTCCGCGTCTAACCATGGAGTCGCACAAAATGCACAAATCATCCATAAAGTAATGTTGAATTATAACACAGTATTGAGAAATGCCCTATTTATTACAAGTGACCTACTCAAAATTCTCTACTCAAATATGCATATTAGTTTTTAATGGTTGGGACTATCAAAACTTCTCAAAATGATCTCCTCCAATTAGCAAAAAACAACACGGACGTGCACAGAAACACGGCAACGATTATGTGTACACTAGACTAAATGTGTTAACATGGAAAAATAATATTGTTGTATACCCGCAATGTAATTAAAATTACACCATTTTTGTTTCATTTCACTATAAATATAATTATTTCTAAAATTAAATTCAATATATGTTATTTTGTGTGTCTGCGTAAAGAAAATACTGTATTCCATTTTTTGCTTTACAGTGTACTTAAAAACAACACAAACACATTTTATTTTTATTTAAAACTGATTTTAATGATATGGAAGACTAAGAAGACTTAAGTTGTCACTTAAAGTTAAAACTACTAAAATTGATAGAACCTACCAAACAATGTTTCGTCCTAACAACCTCGCGAAACAACCTAGGTAGGGCGAATGGGATTTCGGGTGAAACAACCTGGAACTGTCCGTGCCATCATGCTTCTGACATCGTTCCAAGGCCTAGGTCATGGTTGCTGTATAAGAAAATCATCAACTGATACATGGTCCTCACTCCAGCTACATTTCCTTCATTGCTTAACAGATTTTGATAAAAAGTTTACACAGATTTCGTGTATGGGAATGTTCAAAACTCAGGGTGTAAAAATTATAACTATTTACAGAACCTGATCAAACAATGAAAGTAATTTCACATGGTGGTGGGGCATTCATGTCCTACAGATATTTTGTTGTTTCATAAAAGTCATAGGTGAAATATCTGTAGTAGGACAGTATTTTTGCAGCTACTGGCCATGGCTACAAATGGCTACAAATTCAGCATATAGATATCCATTACTTCATGGAAAGTATTTGTATATATGTGGTGATAGGGTGGAAATACAGTGTGTGTTAGATCTCCAGAAAAGGGGATTGTGTACCTCCTCTCCCTCCTCCTAAATTTTCATATTCTGTCTATATATATCTCACTACCAATCTCCCTGCCCCATTTTTAAACCCCGAGAAAACACTATCGATTGCATACATTTCAATGTTATGGCTAATAAATAAGGACTAAACGGACCAGTGGCAGGTGCAATCCTGGTAGCATAGATAAGTTGTCTCATAATTAGATACATTGTATACATATGGGAAAATATGGCTATAGGGTGGGAACCTCACATGTTTTTATTTCTCAATTTCCCCATTTGGTCCATGCATCTTCAGGGTAGGGGATTGACCAATGCAAGGAGGCAGGACAAATTGTGTTCGTATTTATTTGGATGATTAGTGCCATCAAAATTATTAACCGATAAGGCCATCAATCAATTTACAATTTCTAGTTACAAACCGATCATTGATTAAAATACTCATTGCTCACTACCACAAAATAGCTACTTTAAACTTCAAATCTGACTCAATAAGTTGATAATAAGTCAATAAGTTGCAATTCAAGTTCATTTGAGGATTTTTATACCGGTAATTGTTAGTGATGGGCTAATGATTGAGATTATAATTGATAATCGATCGGTTTGCCCTTTTCAATTACAATTATCGATTACATGTTCCATAATGGATATAACCAGTTCTCCATTGAAATCAAAGTATTTAAATGTCTTCCATGTAAAGTATGCTTTGAAAGTCATACTTTGTTATGATAAAAATCCATAAAAGTTGCTTGATATGTGGATCCATTCATTATAAAAGAACGAAACCTAATGTGTAGTGATGAACAACTCTGTCTATTGATGTAATTGTAATACAATGTAGTAGTGTTCTCACTTTATTTGGGCATTTAGTCCCAAAAAGTTATAAACCGATCATGGATCTGTTTATTACCTTTGATTACAAACCAATTATCGACTATGATTTTATACCGATTGCCCATCACTTGTTTATACGTTTTCAAACAAGATACTTTTTAGGAATGTGAACCATAATGTGGGGTATGAAGTACTTCATGTTTTGTTTTATTTTGAGACATATATATATTATTACCATCTGGCCCCAAGGGCCAAGTAAGCTTATGCCAAGGTGCGTTGTCTGTTGTCCGGTGTCAATTTTTTACTTTAAATAACTTTTTCTTAATAACCAAGAGGCCTAGGGTAATGATATTTCACCAGAAGCAATCTTGGATGAAGGGCAAAAAAGTGTGTTCAAATAAATGACCTTCACCCATATTCAAGGTCACAGGGGTCAAATTTGTTTAAAATCTTTAAAAGACTTCTTCTAATAATCATGAGGCCTACAATGCTGATATTTGGCCAGTAGCATGCTTGGATGAAGGGCTATCAAGTCATTTTGATGACCTTGACCTTCTTTCAAGGTCACATTTCGTCAAATATGTATAAACCTTTAAATGACCTTATCTCAATAAATAAAAGGTCTAGGGTTGTGATATTTGGCAAGTATCATGCTGAGATGAAGGGCTATAAAGTTTGTTCAATGTAATGACCTTGTTCGACTTTCAAGGTCGACGTCACAGGGGTCAAATGTTTAAAATCTTTTAACAGGTTCCTTTGAATGGCTTGTAGTCAGAAATACTGATATTTTGCCTGTAGCTTTAGTTTAGATCACTTTGACAGTTACAAGTGTGGGATTAAAACCAGGTGAGCAATGCAGGCCCATTGGGTCTCTTGTTTATATTATGTGATTGTTACTAGATGGCCATTATAATTACTGTTCTGTTTTTTAACAGGTGGTACCACCACGTCATGCGAATAAGCTGATCCCCTGGACTTGTTTCTTTTATGGTTTGGGTTTGGTCGTCTATTATAGATTAAAATACAACCCCAAGGTAAGTGTGATTTGATTTCAATTAATTATACCAGCAAGTTTTCACCCTGTCAATTTTTTTCCCTTCACTGGCAAAATCAATTTTCGTCCAATAAAAAATTAGCCTTCACATTAAATGACTATGTGTATTAGGTTGTTTACGAATGTTAGCTGTCATGATAAATTCTCCCTCATTGCGAAGGGCAAAAAAGGCGGAAATTAAACAGCAGCGAAATTTCCTGGTATAGAGCTGTATAACATCAAGAACCGCCCTAACTTACACAATGTTATACATGTATATCTGTTTTCAATTGTAATGAGATATCTAGAATCTATTGTAATGTCAACTATTATTTTAACAAGGTAATTGTGATTTGTATATGACCGTTATCACATCATGAATGAAATTCTTTGTCCTCTGCTCATAGAATGTTGAAGAAACCAAATTAAAATACATGTAAGCCTCAACGTTAACTTATTATTGAAATATTTGTCTTTATCTTTTCCAACCCTTTATTTAACAGTTTTGTCTGTATCTCTCACTCTCATTACTTAAGGTTTACCAGTTTTCTAGTGTGGCCCTGTAGTATGGCCTTGTTCAATTGATAACCATTAAGACTCGCATAAGCCACACACAAATCTGTTCTCTAAATGTCAAGGATATATCATTGCAATTCTTGTTGGTCCAAATTTTAAATCACTGCACATTTTTGCAACTTTTAAGTTTCTATGTCCATGCATGTCCATATGCCCTGGGTCAACATTGCATGAAAAATTGTAGTTTGCAAAGTTGGCATATTTACAATCAGTTATTTTTAGGCAAACAATAAGAAAAATTGAATTATTGAAGTGTTTTCCTTAGCTGACCATCAACAGATGGTGGGCTTTAACGTGTTAAAATCGTATTTGCACTTCTTTCAAGGCCAGTCATGATCAATATTATACACATTTGTCATACATGTATGTGGCTAGGGTCAGTCAATATTGACAGTTGTCATACATGTATATTGCTAGGGGACAGTCAATATAGACAGTTGTCATACATGTATGTGGTAAGAGGCCAGTCAATTTAGACAGATGTCATACATGTATGTGGCTAGAGGACAGTCAATATAGACAGTTGTCATACATGTATGTGGTTAGGGTCAGTCAATATAGACAGTTGTCAAACATGTATGTGGTCAGAGGCCAGTCAATTTAGACAGATGTCATACATGTATGTGGCTAGAGGCCAGTCAATATAGACAGTTGTCATACATGTATGTGGTCAGAGGCCAGTCAATTTAGACAGTTGTCATACATGTATATTGCTAGGGGACAGTCAATTTAGACAGTTGTCATACATGTATATTGCTAGGGGTCAGTCAATATAGACAGTTGTCATACATGTATGTGGTCAGAGGCCAGTCAATTTAGACAGTTGTCATACATGTATGTGGCTAGAGGACGGTCAATATAGACAGTTGTCATACATGTATGTGGCTAAAGGACGGTCAATATAGACAGTTGTCATACATGTATGTGGTCAGAGGCCAGTCAATTTAGACAGTTGTCATACATGTATGTGGCTAGAAGACAGTCAATATAGATAGTTGTCATACATGTATGTGGCTAGAGGACAGTCAATAGACAGTTGTCATACATGTATGTGGCTAAAGGCCAGTCAATATAGACAGTTGTCATACATGTATGTGGCTAGGGGGCAGTCAATATAGACAGTTGTAATACATGTATGTGGCTAGAGGACAGTCAATATACAGTTGTCATACATGTATGTGGCTAAAGGCCAGTCAATATAGACAGTTGTCATACATGTATGTGGCTAGGGGACAGTCAATATAGACAGTTGTAATACATGTATGTGGCTAGAGGACGGTCAATATAGACAGTTGCCATACATGTATTGGCTAGAGGACGGTCAATATAGACAGTTGTCATACATGTATGTGGTCAGAGGCCAGTCAATTTAGACAGTTGTCATACATGTATGTGGCTAAAGGCCAGTCAATATAGACAGTTGTCATACATGTTTGTGGCTAGAGGACAGTCAATATAGACAGTTGTCTTACATGTATGGGACTCGAGGACGGTCAATATAGACAGTTGTCATACATGTATGTGGCTAGGGGACAGTCAATATAGACAGTTGTCATACATGTTTGTGGCTAGAGGACAGTCAATATAGACAGTTGTCTTACATGTATGAGGCTAGAGGACAGTCAATATAGACAGTAGTCATACATGTATGTGGCTAGAGGACAGTCAATATAGACTGTTGTCAAACATGTATGTGGCTAGAGGACAGGCAATATAGACAGTTGTCATACATCCATGTGGTTAGGGTCAGTCAATATAGACAGTTGTCATACATGTTTGTGGCTAGAGGACAGTCAATATAGACAGTTGTCATACATGTATGTGGTTAGGTTAAGTCAATATAGACAGTTGTCATACATGTATGTGGCTAGAGGACAGTCAATATAGACAGTTGTCCTACATGTATGTGGTTAGGTTAAGTCAATATAGACAGTTGTCATACATGTATGTGGTTAGGGTCAGTCAATATAGACAGTTGTCATACATGTATGTGACTAGGGGACAGTCAATATAGACAGTTGTCATACATGTATGTGACTAGGGGACAGTCAATATAGACAGTTGTCATACATGTAAGTGGCTAGGGGACAGTCAATATAGACAGTTGTCATACATGTAAGTGGCTAGGGGACAGTCAATATAGACAGTTGTCATACATGTATGTGGCTAAAGGACAGTCAATATAGACAGTTGTCATACATGTATGTGGCTAGGGAACAGTCAATTTAGACAGTTGTCATACATGTATGTGGCTAAAGGCCAGTCAATATAGACAGTTGTCTTACATGTATGTGGTTAGGGTCAGTCAATATATACAGTTGTCATACATGTATGTGGTTAGGTTCAGTCAATATAGACAGTTGTCATACATGTATGTGGCTAGAGGACAGTCAATATAGGCAGTTGTCATACATGTATGTGGCTAAAGGCCAGTCAATATAGACAGTTGTCATACATGTATGTGGCTAAAGGCCAGTCAATATATACAGTTGTCATACATGTATGTGGTTAGGTTCAGTCAATATAGACAGTTGTCATACATGTATGTGGCTAAAGGCCAGTCAATATATACAGTTGTCATACATGTATGTGGTTAGGTTCAGTCAATATAGACAGTTGTCATACATGTATGTGACTAGGGGACAGTCAATATAGACAGTTGTCATACATGTATGTGGTTAGAGGCCAGTCAATATAGACAGTTGTCTTACAATGTATGTGGTCAGGGGACAGTTAATATAGACAGTTGTCATACATGATGTGGTCAGCTGTCAGTCAATATAGACAGTTGTCATACATGTATGTGGCTAGGGGACGGTCAATATAGACAGTTGTCATACATGTATGTGGTTAGGTTCAGTCAATATAGACAGTTGTCATACATGTATGGGGCTAGGGGACAGTCAATATAGACAGTTGTCATACATGTATGTGGTTAGGTTCAGTCAATATCGACAGTTGTCATACATTTATGCGGTCAGAGGACAGTCAATATGGACAGTTGTCATACATGTATGCGGCTAGAGGACAGCCAATATAAGCCATAGACTTTCATTTACACATAAGAATGATATATTTTGACTTTTACTATTAAATGTAAGTTATTAAATATGCATTGCTTTAATTTCTGTTTCTTTCAGAACTGGGAGAACCATAGTATAGGATTTGAATATCAGCATGTGCAGCCAGCAAATTTTGAAGTGAGTACCCCAAAAATTATCAATATATCTAAATTAAGCATTTTACATAAGCAAACAAATAAAATGCTTATATTGTTTTTCAAAACTCTTAGGACAACAACACACAGCATTATCTATCCAAACTCAAAATAATTTGTATTCTGTCCTTCTGAAGAGTTTGTCCCGAGCATGTCTTCTTTACTATTTCACCCGGAGTAGCCAATCTTCACTATTTTACCTGGAGTAACCAATCTTCACTATTTTACCTGGAGTAACCAGATTTGGTATGCAGAGTGCAGAGTATTAGAAGTAGATTACTGTTACAAAGGCCCCTTTCGCGTACCCGGTTCAACCAGTTGATATGGTTGAACCTGGAAAGAAAACAACCGAGGCAGATCTGAAAGAAGGCTATCCTCAGGAATATTTGGTGCGTGTAGATTGAGGGTCCAGAGGTGCCTGACCAAAACTAAAATGATGACTATTGCTAGTTTGCATTACTTCTTTATTAAACAATGTCCAATCTAATTAAAAATATATCTTCACATCGCTCCCGTTTACTGATATGTCACGTTGAAGATCTAACAACATCCCATAGAGGGTCACGTCAGAGGTCAACATGAATGCATTATCGTATTTATAACAAGCCAATCAAAACGCGACATAACTCTTTCTTTCAACCAATCAGAAAGCAGGACCTGTAGCATTTAATGCAGACACCTCGTAGCCCAAAATCCACTTTTTCGTCTGGTCCAGTGATAGTTTGAATATTGCGAAGCCTGTCATTGGTTAATTTTAGTTTCAGGTTGTTAAACTTTTTAACGACAACATCACCAGAAGAGGAAGTCTCTCTTATTTCAAAGCAAAATCCACAAATTGTACAAACGTTGTCTTGTAGATAGACACGGCGTGGTGTCATGGGCGCCGCCATTTTCGATGCTCATTTGACACCTCTCGGTCTTTTATCATAGCAAGTGTGTTCCGAAATCATTACATCATCACTTACAGAAATGCGTAAGCTCTCATCTGATTGGTTAATGCAAAGGTCGCCTGAACATGACCCTCTACGGGATGTTGTTAGATCTTCAACGCGACATATCAGTAAACGGGAGCGATGTGAAGATATAATTTTAATTAGGTTGAACAATGTCAAACCAGATGCAGATTTTAAGATGTTTTATATGATTTAGTGGACGCATGAAAGAAAGACATAATATTCTTGATATACTGTTATCTATTCTCCGAAACTGCATTTTTTTTAGCTCTGGCTATAGTTTGGTCCAAGTGCGTTCTTTTATCGTGGATTATTAGAAATTGCTGAAATTCTATTTAAAAGAACTATTGTTAAAACCTTGCAGTTCAAATATCATAATCATTTTACTTATGTACTATGAAATCAATGCAGCATTCTCAGAATTTTGAAGAGGTTTGTTACATCCAAGCTTTTTACTATGACAGAAGTCTGTTATAATTATTATACGAATTGTATGACATTTGATAGCTCCAGGCTTAGGATATCCAATGGGCCGTTTGTACATTAATGAAACCTTTACTTCGGCAGGGTATTGACAGGGTAATGGAGCCCTATGAATACATGGACCGTGGATTCTCTGAAAGAAAAGCTCTATTGGACTTGAAAACAAGTGGACCCAGATTCAGCTAGATCCTCTTTCTCTGCAGCCATCTGCAGCGACATGAAAAAGAAACAGTTGTTGACTTTTCAAGACACTTAAGCGGTACCTGACCTCGAGGCAGACTTATCTGGATATTTTTTGAATGTTCATCCAGTGATGTGTGGTTTAGATTTTGTGCTGCCACTGTTGATATTTTGAAGAAAATTAAAGACCTAACAAAATTAATCACATGTATGAGTTGTTATAACAAATGTAACCTCACCTGGCACAAGTACCTGTAAGGTCAAGGGATCAAATGTGTTGAAAACTCCTTCTTTTTCGAGTGTGCTGTCTTACACCTCATCAGCTCCTCAATCTCCAGTTTTTTCTTGGTGGGTAACCACAATGCTATATCAGGCTATAGAAACTATCTTGCTGGGACAAGACAGTATCAAGGTAATTCAAACAAGAGTCCCAGTGGGCTTATACTACTTGCCTTCTGTTTTCCATCTTACATCTTTGATTCAGAAAAGGTTAATGACTTGGGGCGTTATGGATCATTTTTGGCCTCATAAATAGTTAAAAAAATCAACTTGAATTTATTTATTAATTGCTGTTATAAACATCATATTGGTAAATTGGGGCTATCTTTCTTCGTGTAGATTTGTTCCAATGCACATGTGTAGATGCCCTACCATAGCAACAAAATTGCGTTGCTATGCAGAAATAGCCAAAATATGATGTTTTTGGACAGTTAGCATGCAGAAATAAAAGCCTCTGCATGTGACAAACAAATTTTCCTTTCTAAGAATGAACACTGGTATGACAATGTTTAAACATGTCAAATATTTATTTGTTTCTTGCATGTGGAGGCTTTCATAAATTGAAAAGTATGTAGTTAATATCAATCAAAATGGCAAAATTTCAACCAAATAGTGCACAACAGACAATATTCATGCATTTCATTATAAAAATGCAGGTTTATGTCTCTCTTTGTAATGCCATATCTCCTAATATAAACCAGCTGTCGAATGAATTTGAAATTTCATATTTGCATACTTCATTTGTTCCAAGTTACAAATATATCGACGGATTCAAAATCCCTGATGTGGCCGAAAATGACAATTACCGCCCCTAGTCCTTCATTTAAATAAGCAAAATGTCATAATCAAAATACCCATGCAATCTCATTATGCATCTTTGTTGGAACAATTTTTTAACTATTATAATCTTTAATAGTATTGTTGGTGCAGGTAAATCGTTGAATCTGCAGTTTCCACTCTTAATATTACTTTACACCATTAAACCAAAAGGCAGTTTATCATTAACATAAATCTGTTGGTTATTAAGAAGAAGTTGTTTACTAAAACAACACTTTAACACACTGACTTCTAAGACCTTCAAACCAGGTTAAGTTTATTTATTGGAACAAACTTAAAGACCTTTATATGACTGTATTTTAGACCAAATATCATCATCCTAGGTCTCCTGATTATTAATAAAAGAAATTGAAAGTTTCAACACCTTTGACACATGTGACCTTGAAAGTGGTTCAGGGTCATTTATTTCTACAAATTTGATAACCCTTTATCCCAGCATGCTACTGGCCAAATAGCATAACCTTCAGCTGCTTAGTTATTGAGAAGTTGGTTGAAGAGAGTGATGTCATTATCATTACAGCAGGGAGATGTCATTATCATTACATCAATATTAGTTAACAGCCTAATATACAAAGTATTCAAATATGAAGGGTGAAATAAAGGTTGGGCACAGACAAATGTTACTAGGGAATAACAAAATGTTCCTTCCATTATACAGTAACATATTTGACTCCTGTGACTTTAATAGAGGGTCAATGTAATTAGTCCCCCTCAAGGTTCGGGGGGGGGGGACTATAAGTTTTCACTCCCGCATCTCCATCTGTCTGTCTGCAGAGTTTGGCCAGAGCATATCTTCTATACTTTTTACCAGGAGTATCCAGATTTGGTTGTTGGGATTGTCGGGTACAAGAATTAGGTGACCAAGACCTATGCTTCAACCTATGACCTCAACCTTTTAAAAAAATTCTATCCCTTTTCACATGGAGTAACCATATTTGATAATACTATATCAATGTTATGTCTTAGGTTTAAGTTTGCAGGGACAGACTCTGATTTAAATCCTAGTTGCACGGATATGATCATTCTTTCATGCCAAGCAATTGTACATATGGTTATAGCGCAAGAATCTCAACTGTTTTGATATTATGACCTAGGGAACGAGTCCTCAGTAGCATGGCTGGATCTAGGGGCAAATCCTAGTAGCATAATTGTGATAGTTTTCACATGTTCAGCAAAGAGCTATCAAGTATTTCTTCAGGAAAAGTGGTAAGAAACTTGAACTGTCAAGACCAAGATGGCTTCCTGGTAGCCACATTGTTTCGTTGATCAGTCTCTGAGAAATAGTGATTACAAACTTAAACTGTCAAAATCCATGATTGTTTGGCAATCCTGCCTTACCAGTTTCTCTCAAAATGGAACATGAAACACTAAAAACCAAGGACTCCTACCCCTAAGAGTCCCCTGAACCCAAGGATTCTCCAGATCAAATTTGGTTGAAATCTCTCTGTCCTTGCAGAGGAATTTAGATATCATATTCAATGCGTTTTCCTCATTGGGCCATGCCCTTTTGCCTTCAGGGGGAAAGTTCACCAGCTGTTTAAACATAATATAGATATTTTAGCCCAGGGATGTGGAAGATTATATTAAGTTAAATTTCCTTCATCCATATGGATGGAGGATGGAAAGGATATTAATTTTAAAGGTTAACTCTAGATCTATTTCCAATACTGGGCCTCGTGCACGACTTTGCTTCCAGAGAGTTACATGGTCTGTTTATACAACATTGAGTCCCCTTTACCAAATGATTTTCTAGATCAGATTTAGTCGTATATCATCATCCATTCATTTGTACAGAAGGAGAAGGGTTTTAAAGATTTACCTCTATTTCCTCTACTGGGCCCCTTTGCCCAACCCCCTCCCCACACAACAACATTGAATCTTCCCCGTTATATACAGATTTATGGCTCATTGTTAAACTTGACATATGAATAAGGGGCTGAAAATTGCACGACCAGACCGGGTTTCGAAACCCTGACCCCTCCCAAGTCTGACCGTCACACTCTATCAATTAATATTGAGCTACATCCTCACCGACGATCAACCCAGTCCAGTTCTGCTCCACATAGTTTGCTTCACTGCATGAAGCATTCTCGGTCCTTGGGACCTGGAAATAAATTGCCATATACAGGAAGAGTGCTCCCCGAGAGCTGGCTACAGAAAGGGCTCATTTGAAATTGGCAGAAACCATTATCGGTATTTTTACAGTACCGCTGTCTTTGCCTCTGGCCTTAAGCTTGTGAAACTATCCCAAGTAAGCATTTTCAGCTTTCAAGGTTTTTGAAGCAGTTTGTGAATAATTAATGCTCATTATGCATATAGCGGACAACAACAGATTTAAGGCAATCACAAAAGGTCATCTTAGGGACACAGGTGACCGCAAAATATTTTCTAAAGGTCAAGAGCAATGCTACTTGTAGATCAACAGTGTAAATAATTTTCTAATAAACTTTGATATGGTCAAAGGTCAATTTTAAGCACTGGTCAAGCTCAAAAGTCAATATGCATGGGTTATATATAATGGATAAAGAGATTGATTTACCGCTTCAGTTCAATAATGCCCAATGTCATATTTAACCAGAGTGAACCTGGAATGGGATGTTACATTATTTCCACAAGGCGACAGCAGCCAGCTGTGAAACATAATTTTGAAGTTATTAAGATCCCCCCAATTTTTTGGGGCATGCAAAGATTATACACCCATGGTTCCATGTCCTGTTAGCCCCTGGGGAACTTAGTTAATATGTCAAACGATTGAGATAAAATGTGTACTTATTTGCTATAAAGAAATGAACACAATCATGCTATCAGGATTACCCAAGGGGTCTGGTCCCTCTTATTAAGGGACTTAATTAGCCGCAGAGTTATAATATAGACATTATTGTACACTACAATTAAACATCCTTGGTTTGTGGGAATGAGCCATTGTGTAAAGGAAAACGTAGCCTCCCAACAAACCCCGAGGTTCAATAAAATATAAACAAACAAAAGAACTAGGTGGATGAGACCCTTGTTGGCTGGTATATATAATTCGATTATAATTTTTCATCAAAATACACAATTGTACAGGTAACACAACCCTTGTCAAATATTATGTAGGTACTTTATTAAAGTCGGTATATACATTAACATATTACATGACGCAATATGAAAAAATAAATTGATTTCTTAAATACGAATACAATTTATCTACAGTAAAAAATGCAATTATTAATTTTGCTGCTAGCATGATTTTCACCTAATTTGAGTAGAATGTATAGAGATCTATTCCTGTCCTGTAATTTCTTCTTCTTCTCCTTCTTCCATGTCATCCTCCTCCTCCTCCTCCTCGCCCTCACCTTCTTCCAAAGCTTCACTTGGCCTGTATTTTCCTATCACTTCCAAAAGTTCATAAATCTGATCCTCTGTTAGCCGTTCCTCACTCTCCTCCACAATTAACTGGATTTCAACAGCAGTGGACGGATACTGATTCAGTAACTGAACTTTTTCAGATTTTGTTAGCTTATACGGCTGAACATCTTTCATGAACTGTTCAATAATTTCTGGAGACTGTGTTTTACAAGGTTTGTCTTCAAGATATTTGACAGCTTCGTAAGTAATAGTTGCTAATTGTTGTAAACTTTTATCTGGCTTTTTCTGTCCCCGTCCAGCCTGGATATCTGACAACAGTGTCAGCACTTCGTAGTTTGTGAGCATTGCGGCATTGTCCTTTATTATCTCCATCGTATCAGGAATAGTGTCTGTCTAGGTACAACAGTCCTGCGTATCGACCCGCTACGATCACATATACCCAGGACAGAAGAACAATGACCAACAGAATCTGCAACAAAAAGAAATTACAGTTCAGATAGAAATCCATGATTATCTTTCATCTTACAATCATCCATCAAGACATGAAGCTTCAATACCTTTATATGACACCTTCGCATGCATGACACAAATTGGCTACATTCATGCTTTCAAGTAAACACGTGTCAATTTGATTGCAACATGTTTAAAACTTTGACATTTGTGATCAAAACTATCGGAAAAACATAGCCAATGTTCCACAGCACAGAAATTACAGATATTGTAACAGGTTTTTTTGTCGTCTTTTAATTTAGAATCCAAAAGTCTAAAAACATCATTGTAAAATACATGATTGTGCCAATTATATTGGTTGTAGTAAAAGTATAGCATTTATATTTACAGATGCCATCTATACATTGATTGAGTTTCAAAATTAATACAAGCAGCCCATGAGCCTTTACAATCACCCCATTGAAAACATGTCTTGGTATATAGGAATAAAACCCTAGTGGGGCAAGTGTCCCCCTTAATGTGCAATTATTTGTACAATAATTCGTTCTGAAAGCTTATGTTTAATAGAAATTCAAAAATTTCCGGGAAGAGTGGGGAGATTCAGGGGAGATTAAATAATTTTCAATATGACAATAATAATTAATCCATCAATAACATCATCTCTATAAATATATTCAATTTTATACTATAAATTTGAAAAATCATATATTTATATTAGGGCGAAACAACTCTGGGTGAACTGGATTTAGGGCGTAATGACCCATGGTGCCAACAGGAATTAGGGCGAAACGACCTAGATCTGATATAAACAGGGACCTAGAGCTAATTACTCTAGACATGTTTCATATGATATATATTTAATATATACCTACAATTAATATGCATGCATGTAAACTGGAGATTATTCAATGTATATACTTTGCTTTTGAAATCAGTAGCTAAAACAGAAGTGTATTATTTCCTTATGGATCCCCTTGTCTTACTTTCAAGGAGTTACAATTGAGGCAGGTTTTAATTGTACATGGGATTACAGTCGTCTTCTAGCTTTGAGCTAGGGAGAATTTCCCTTTAGCTCAGTGGTAAAGTTTTTAACTAGGAACCTGGAGATCGAGGGTTCAATCCCCGGTGGAAGCACACGTACGTACATTATTCTCTTTTTGGTTACAAATGGTGTCCGTGGCCCTTTCTGTACATGTGGTGAAAGGGAGTTAGAACCTGGGTTGTGGTGTTCAAGGGCGAACACATTTAAATAGGGGGGAGTAGTGTGGCAGGTTTTAATTGTACATGAGATTACGGTCGCCTTCTAGCTTCGAGCTTGAGGGAATTTCCCTTTAGCTCAGTGGTAAAGCTCATCCGACTAGGAACCTGGAGATTGAGGGTTCAATCCCCGGTGGAAGCACACTATTCTCTTTCCCGTTTACAATTTTCAGTATTTTATGATAATCTTTTTTAATTAGGCTATATATTTTACGTTGTATATACAGAAAAATCTAATGCACATTCCTGGAATCAAAACTAAATGCAGATAATAATTAATTAAATGTCCATGACAGTCTTAGAATAACAAGCACAGATTATTAATGAAAGTCTAAAAATAATGAAGATAATTCTGAAATACACCACTTCACTGTGTTGTATATATAAGGCAGTAAGATGTATTTATTTATAACTAGTCAATGACTATGTTTTTTAGCTTCAAGTTAGTAGCTTTCCAAGCATTCACAATAATGTCTCAGATCAAACTTTGAAGAGCTTCAATAGAGGAAGAAAGTACTACGAATGAGTATTCTTTTCATTTACTATACATATATATTGGACATTATAAATAAGTATATGAAATACAATCAATACATCTCCGAAAAATCTAAAAGCTTACAATGATGTATATTACAGCGAAAGATACAGCGAAAAATATATTCATACCAATATAAGATTTTAGCTATATAAAGTGTCTATGAAAAAAGAAAGATTCCGAATGGTGTGTCTGGCAACATCTATTTTGTTGTTGGACCCTAAGCAAAATTAACGTTGAAGAAACAAAGCTTTGGTCTTTGGGTCCAACAAAACACCGGCTATATAGTTAAAGTACCGTCCTAACATTCGTTACAGTAATGTGTTGCAACACGTTCAATGGACAGTGCGGATGATTGTCCATTCCTTACACGTGAAAGAGCTACTAAAGTAGAATGTTTCTTACAAAATTAAGCACGTTCGTCAAAGTTTTCTTGCTGACGATGTACATGGTGGACGAAGTCAAGGAAAACAGACCATCGTCAACAAATTATCCAAGCATGTTTCCCTCTTTCTAAGACAGATTTCGCCAATCTAAACAGGAAACTACCATTAGTAACTAATAAAACTGAGTGGACCAGAGTCGGAAACAATATTTCCGGATATTGCTGTCGTTTGATTTTTATTAAATTTTAGAATTAATGAAAGTTATTAAACATCCACTAAAATATACTGAAGTCAGATTTTTAATAATAATAAAAAAAAAATCAATATAAGAGGAGATAAGATATTAGAGGAGGTATGCGGTAATTATCCAACATATATTTTGGAAAAGAAATGCCACAAACTTATCATTCATTCGCCGCGTTCACTTGAGTAAGTCGATATTGGGAAATGTGTATTTCCTCCCTTTAGTATGAAGATATTATCCCTGCTTGTTAACACACCCGTGTATATAACATTCTTATTTAAATTAACACAGTCGTACAAGTAGCCTTCCTGTTCGGTGTTTTACCTAACATGAAGGTTATTTATACTGCTGCGTTAATTTAACTCACAGACAAGATTTCTGTTATTTAACGCAACCACTAAGTCCGTGATGCAACGTTATAGATAACACTTGTGGAGTTAACTAGCAGGAATGGTATCCATACAGTTGTGGTTATCACAGTCGTAAAGATAGCATTTCTGTTAGCTATGATCACAACCGTATAAAATATCTCAACTAGTTAAATTTCTGTTATACGTTTGTTAATTTATAGCCCAAACATATATGTGATTTATTTGATAAATTGGTAATGCCCGTGTTTTGCTACGGTAGTGAGGTATGGGGCTTCCATTCGGCTGAGGATATTGAACGTGTACACCTCAAGTTTTGTAAAGTTGTTGATTATGAGCTAGGTCGTTCTCCATTAAAAATAACAAGATATTGCAGAATAATAAAATATTGCATGAGGATAATATGCGATCCAACAAACGATCTTGTTAGATCAGCATATAACATCTTGTATCAGGACGCTGAACAGTTAACCAAACAAAATTGGGCTAGTGCGGTAAAATAAGTTCTTTTTACTAATGGGTTTGGATATGTTTGGTACATGCAGTCTGTAGACTTAAAATTAAAATTTTTGTTCAAAATTGGCAGAGGGAATTATCTGGCTCTACTAAAGCAAGATTTTATGTTAATCTTTCTAATGATTTCGAATATAAACTATATCTCGACCTTGTCAACATAAAACAGTTTCGTATAGCTTTAATAAAATTTAGAGTCTCTTCTCATCGTTAGAGTGTTGAGGTAGGCCGTTGGCACAGACCGAACCTTATTCCATATGGGAATCGTACATGTAATTATTGTGGGGCTTTAGAGGACGAATATCATTACCTTATGGAGTGTACTTATATTCTAACATAAGACACATGTATATCAAGAGAAGGTATGTTCATCACCCAAATAGACCAAAGTTCCTGGAATTAATATCGTCTACATTGAAAAATAGTGCCGCTCTCATTTTTAAAGCGAATGAGATACGGAACAATATTTAATTTAATCAGGAGAAACGTCCGCCCGGATGTCGTGAAACCTTCATTTAAGTATGGAAAGTCACTGTTTTACTTAATTATATATTTATGTAAATTTAATGTATTGTACCACAACATATGGCATGTTTCAAACTTCGACCGTATATACCGTCAAATGCTATTTCGGGCCTAACATATAACATTTGAGAAATAGATGTGCACGCAACTGCTTGTTTGCTCACATAGCAGCTACGCGCCTAACCCATCATGCGGATTACAATAACATTCCGTATAGAGAATTGCGTATAAATAACATAGCCGTGTAGTAATATTCCTGTAGGTAGATAACATACCAGTGTAAGTTATTCCTGCATAATTTAATTTTGCCTATCTCCCCCATAATTATTTTTTTTGGTATATATCGTATATACATGTACTTCTGTGTGAATTACAGACGTTTCGCCCCAAATCCATTACGCCCAAAACCAGTTCACCCCATTTTTTTTTCACATAGCCACAATCTTCAGTTCAGTTCACTCAAAGTTAGACAACCATAACGCCCCAAAATTTCTTTTTGCCCCAAAAGCTATATTGCCCCAAACATTCTATATCGCCCCAACCGCTACGAACCTATATTGAACTATAAAATGGAGTTAATGGGAGGTAACTCTTTCAATTTTAGAGCTGTGACTATTTCCTTGTCAATATCAATAATTAATTTCTTGTTTCGAATAATTTCGCGTGGAAATAATTTAATTATCTTAAACATATATATCATCTAAAATATACAAATATATGCTTAACATAGATATTATAGATATGATACGTTAGCTATCTACGGCACGCGTGGAAATAATCTAATTATCTTTTACATATACCTGAATCTGCGAAGCGGTTTATAATGAGAGTACACTCCCGGTTTTTTTGTGTTATAGCTCCATAACACAAAAAATATATTTAAGTAAATCCTTATAATTTAATCTACCATGCACAATCCCTGTGGAAATCCACTCTTATTGATGGACTCTTTTCTCTAAGACATTATTACGCCGCTGTATCGGCCAATCAAAAGCGACGTTACAAACAACGACGTCATTTTTTACGTTATGGGCTGATACTATAAATGTTTAGGCCAATGGAAAGGTTTGTTACAAGCAATATTAAATAATTGTACAAATATACATATATATACAGAGAGAGATAATTATTACTTACTTACAACAACAACTTATATTAACAAATGATATAACATTCACGTAATAATGTGAAAATAAGCACTTCCCTTTTTATAAGGGCGAACTATTTGGGGCGTTATGCTTTTTTTGGGGCGAACTGGTTGGGGCGAGATGAATCAACTTTTGGGCGAACTGAACTGAAAATTGGGTCGATGTGAAAAAAAATTGGGTCGAACTGGTTTGGGACGTACCGAATTTCGGGGCGAAACGTCTGAAATTTTACAGAAGGGGTGTCAGACGTTTCGCCCCTAAACCGTTACACCCCCAAACTAGTTCGCCCCCCATAAAATTACATCGACCCAATTTTCAGTTCAGTTCGTCCATTTCCCCCAAAAGCTATATCGCCCTTAAAATTGTGTTTCGTCCCAAACGCTACGGACCTATATTGAATTATAAAATGGAGTTAATGGGAGGTAACTCTTTCAATTTTTGAGCTGTGACTATTTCCTTGTCATTATCAAGAATTCATTTCTTGTTTCGAATAATTTCGCGTGGAAATAATCTATTTATCTTAAACATATATATCATCTAAAATATACAAATAGATGCTTAACATAGATATTATAGAGATGATACGTTAGCTATCTACGGCACGCGTGGAATTAATCTAATTATCTTAAACATTTATTTCATCTTAAATAATATGATACGTTAGCCAACTACGGCACGCGTGGAAATAATCTAGTTAACTTTTACATATACCTGAATATTATTTAAAGATTCACTTGAATATGTTTTTTATGTTATGGAGAAAGAACACAAAAAAATGGAGCCTACTCTAAAATAACTGCGAAGCGGTTTATGATGAGAGTACAGTCCAGTTTTTTTGTGTTATAGCTCCATAACACAAAAAAATATATTCAAGTAAATCCTTATAATTTAATCTACTATGCACAATCCCAGTGGAAATGCACTCTTATTGATTGACTCTTTTCTCTAAGAAATTATAACGCCGCTGTATCAGCCAATCAAAAGCGACGTTATAAACGGCGACGTCATTTTTTTACGTTATGGGCTGATAACATAAACTATTAGGCCAATGAAAAGGTTTGATACAAGCAAGATTAAATAATTGTACAAATATACATATATATATAGAGAGAGATAATTATAAATTACTTACAACAACAACAACTTATATTAACAAATGATAAAACATAATTTAACACTATACAATTATGGACTTTTTTGCTGGTGAATATGATGTGATATGAACCTGAAAGAGTGATATTGACTGAGGCAAAGCCGAGGTCAATTTCACTCTTTAAGGTTCGTATCACATCATATTTACCTGCACAAAAGCCGATAACTGTTTTATTATATGCTTCAACAATAAAATAAAACAAAACCTAACTAAAGTTCTGATTTTTGTACGCGAGCCTCCGTGTAAAATTTAGCCAGGTTTGAATACAACAGTTCATCATTGTAGCTTTCGAAGGCATCGTCTAGATTCTTTTTCTTAAGATAAGCATGGAGGAGATGCACTGCGTGTTCAATGGCCTTTTTTACGCTAACAGCATCTTTGTCCTGGAATAGTTTTGGTAATTTTCCTAACGAAGGAGAAACGTTCGCCAGCAGCCATCTTCTAATGTCGTCTGACAGATCGCCTTCCAGTCTAATTGCGCATGTGCTACGAAAGGTTCCGGGGAATTTCCATACAGGCTATATTTAGAAATCGATATTCACCGGATAACCAGTCTACATGAGTTTTTGAGGACTGGTCCCGTGTATAGGATCCGACCAATGTGATTGCAAGAAATGTTCATGCATATAATAAAAAGATATATATCATGCACAATACAGAATACATCACTTAATATTTTTGTGGAAAATTTTCCTAACGTTGTTATTTCAATAACACCTGTCATCAATGCGGCGACACAAAATGTAAAGGAACCAGAAAAATAATTTCCTATTTGATCTTAGTAATTTACTACAGATCGTAGACATATAACTATGCTACATTTCAGTAAGTCACATGTTATGGAAACTTAAACTGAAAACGAACGTTAAAGGAAACATTGCATTTTTACTATTCCGGCTTTGCAAAACTGAAATAATATGTACATATATTTGATGCGCCGACCCTTCCGTAGTATACACGAAACAAGAGCTATCTTCCTTAGCACGGTAAACACATTCACGTAATAATGGGAAAATAAGCAAGTTCCTTTTTATTAGGACTAACTATTTTGGGCGTTATGCTTTTTTTGGGGCGAACTGGTTGGGGCGAGATGAATCAAATTTTGGGAAAACTGAACTTAAAAATTGGTGGATGTGATTTTTTTTTGGGGCGAACTGGTTTGGGGCGTAACGATTTTGGGGCGAAACGTCTGAAATTTTACAGAAAGGGTGTCAGACGTTTCGCC